CACTTGGTACATTCAAATGGTTTTTCTCCTGTGTGGATTTTCAGATGGTTGAAGAAAGTTGAACTCCCCTTCAAACTTTTCCCACATTCTGTACATATGTATGGCCTCTCTTCCCTGGGGGTTTTCTGTCGTTTAAGGGTGACATTTAGTTTCTTCTTAGACCCTTTTGCTTGATGAGTGGATTGAGTGCCTTTCTTCCTCTGCTGCCTTTCTGGCCTGACTTTCCTCCAGCCAGGACTCTGGGCTTCAGCTACTTGCAATAACTCATCTTGCTCAAGATCTTTTTGATTATGTATTTCCTCCTCATTTTCACTGATGTTGCTATCACTTCCTGGAATAAAATCAGGAGTTCTGATATTGTTCATTCCTGGACCTGGGGAGAAAAAACAAACAAACTCTTGGATCTGTATATCTGTAAAGCATTTCTATCTATTCAGTGACTGGTCATGAAGTCTTAAATCCAAAAAAAGTCAAATCCCAGCAAGCCCTTTCCCAAAGGGAAGGAGGAGGTGAAGAGAGGGGTCGAGAGGACAGAAATAAATAGTCGATAGAGGAGTGGGAGGAAGAAGAGGGAGACAAAGGTGAGCAGATAAGTCTCTCCATTCTCAAGAATTTCCATCCTTCAGAACAGTGTAGACCAAGCCAAGCACTTAACCCACATAAATCCTCCTGCAAAGCAGGAAGGGAAAGGAATGGGCTCAAACAAGTGAGCTATCCCAATAATGTCATTTTAACCACATACTCCTCTTCCTTCAGCCCACAAGCTCTCTACCCCTACTCATTTACCAGAGCAGGACAGCACCTTGCTGCAGTCTGCTTTGACATTGGGCTTTCCTCTGCCTCACACCAGAGGCTGAAGCTTCCATCTGTTTTACAATCGTGTATGTTTTAGAGGAAACTTTCTGGATGAGACTATCAGGCATATTGGCAGTAACCGAATCATTCAGTGCCAGTAGCGAAGAACTAGTCTATTGCCTACTTTAGACGTAGCCTAAGTGCCTAACTCCAGACTACAAGCCTCTTTTGAAAGAGGCTTTTTAAAAAAAAAAAAAGCGCTTTTTCGAAAAGCCTCTTTTTTGAAAGAGAGCACCCAGGCAGTCTGGATGCTTTCTTTCAAAAAAAGTACAGTTTGCATTACATAGTGCTCTTTTGAAAAAAGGCGCTTTCGAAAAAAGGTGTTCTTCCTCATAAAACGAGGTTTTCCACAGTCTAAAAAACCACCGTATTCTTTCAATTTACTTTCAAAAGAATGCGGCAGCAGTCTAGACGCAAGGGAAGGTTTTTTGAAAAAAAAAAGGCCACTTTTTTCGAAAAAACTCTGTAGTCTAGACACACCCTTTTTTTGAAAAAACTTCCTCTGCGTCTAGACTGCTGCTGCGTTTCTTTCGATTTACTTTTGAAAGAACGCAGTTTTTTTTACCACGAAAATCCTCGTTTTATGAGGAATAAAGCCTGTTATCGAAAGAGTACTTTAGAAAAAAGGCGCTTTTTCAAAAAATCTGCTCGTCATCTAAACACTCTCTTTCTAAAGAGGCTTCTAGTCTAGACATAGCCATAGGGGTCTAAAACACCACAACAACCCTTTGGCATTTTTCCCTCTAGTGCAGGCATGTCCAAAGTCCGGCCCGCGGGCCGGGTAATTTGGCAATATCTATCTTTTATGGCCCCCAATGAATCCATATGTATTGAGATGAATACATTGTAAAATCTCAGTTAAAGTCAGTTGGTCTAAATCAGTTATAAATATATTTGGACACAACATGTATACTTGGTGTTATGTTCCTGTTCATATTTTTTGAACTTAAAAGTTGACAGACAACCTTTATTACCAATAATATGTAATGTACTTTACAATGTTCCTGACATATATTTCAGCTTCCTGGATTTTTTTTTCATCTGGCCTTCAGATATGAAAGGCAGAGTGATTTAACTCCTGTTTAGATTTGTCATCCATGTGACGAAATGAAAAGTATGCCGTTTGCAATAAACTTTGCATAAAATAGTTAATTTGCGTTTAATTTTAATGGTTCAAAGAATGTCAGGCAAAATGGTCGGCCCTCACGCCTGTTCACTTCATAAAATCTGGCCCTCTTTGAAAAAAGTTTGGGCACCCCTGCTCTAGTGGGAGGAAGGAGCAATGTGACTCATTGCTATAGGATTGTTCTGGGGCAGACTCCCTATTCCAACAGCTGCAGTTATTTGCAGAGGCTGTGTCTCTGCAGTGACCATCTGCCTCCATATTCTTGGATGTCCAGCAAAACTCTGGTAACTGTCACTACTCTCCACCATGCCTGTAAGGGGTAAAAGAGAATAAAGTGGAGAGTCCCAATACCCCTGCTCAGAGCTTCTGGAGTTCTCCCACTTGTGGAGGTGAAAAGGAAGATCAAGCCAAGCAAGAGAGAAATTCTGGCTTTTGTTTTCTCTGATACCAGTTGCATTTTGTTCCCCTGTTTTTAAAAAGTAGAAAAGTTTCCTGGGGCAAACTGGAGCACACATAGTCACAGTGAGCACTTAACTCCAGCTAGGTGCACAACATGTGCTCTGGCACAGCAGAGCAAACAGATGAGAGAAGACAGACCCAAAAGCTGCCACTGATAGCCCAGCTTTTTAAGATCACTGATTGTGGGTGACTTTGCTGTAAGTTACTCCTCACCTGTGCAGGGCTCTCCTTGGATTGTGCTTTTTCTGGAGCCCTGGAGCCCAGAGACCATTGGCTCTTCCCCCAGCTCCATCTAGAAGAAAAAAGTGGATCTGAGTCTGAAACCTTGGTTAGTAGAAAGGAAAGTAGATACAATGCACCCCAGCAGCGATAACAGGTTTTGTTAGGACAAGGGGAAGAGAATTTGCCAATCCCACACTAGTGAGCAATCAGCAGTTAGCCAGGGAGCTCAGAATTTGGAAGAAAAAGTATCTAGTTATCTCACCCATTACAAAGATAGCTTCCCCAATTATCACCTCTAATATCATTAGCCCACAGACATTCCCCTCCCCCCCCCAACCCCTTCTGTTCTGAAATTTGATTTGTCCTTTTCATATGTGTTCATTTTTTTAAATTGTATCCTTTGGTATATATGGTTGTGACTATTTTCTTCCACTACTTGATCTGAGGAAGTGGGTCTGGCCCATGAAAGCTCATCATCTAATAAACCATCTGGTTAGTCTTTAAAGTGCTACATTGTCCTGTTTTTTGCTTCAGCTACACCAGACTAACACGGCTACATTTCTATTACAGGAAAAGAGAGTTTATTCTAGGGAAAAGGTTAGGGTTAGCTAACAGCCCGTGGCCTGCTCTCAATCTCTTTCCTAGTGCCAACAATCCCCCCTTCTGAATTAACCTGCCCTCTAGCCTTAATGCCCCCTCCAACTCCCTCAGATTCTCTACTGCTAGCTCCTTCCAGAATTTAATTACCCCAATGCCTTCGTTTCCCCAGGCAGGCACACTACCCTGCAGTCAGGCCAGACTCACTTGATGACCCAGGCTGCTGGTACCAGTGCTTAAACCACAGCTCTTGCTTCAATCTCAATCTCCCTCTCTCTCCTTCCCTGAGCTCCACCCAATGCCCCCCTGTGAGCCTTCATTGGAGAAGAAGCTGAATGCAGTGATTGGCTGGCAGGATCAGGGTGGGGATGACTCCTCCCAGGGCAGGAAACCAGAAGAGAGACTGCTGCAAAAGGGGGGCTGGGGAAATGGTGGAAGTGTTTACTAAGGCAGTATGTGCTTTGGACCCTTCCTACATGCAAAGAGCTGGAAGTCAGCATGCAAGCAGCAAAAAGTAGTTTACCAAAAAGCTTTACTAAGATGTCTGCAGACAATCCCCTTTAGCTGCTTGCAGGTATATCAGTTTCTTTGCAAACCTTTTCATTCTGTTAGGCTGTCTTGCTTACTCCAGTGCATTTTGTCTAACTTATGTGGCCTGTCTGACCCTCAATCTGTACGATCTGTGGAGCAGGAGTTCTTGTGTTTGGTATCTCTCTGTATAGCACCTAGCCTAATAGAGCCCTGATCTTTGGGGTTTATAGGCATTTCCTCCATTCAAATAATAATAATAATAAAATAATAATAATATCTTTATTATAGAAGTATCTGTGCCTGGAGCACTCAACCCCAACCACAGTGAGGCCAAGTGGTAGGAAAGAGAGACACCAGGAGATCTCAGTGGCTTTGTGGTCACAGATAATTAAGGATGTGTGATAATGCATGCTGTGCAAAATGGAGGCAGGAGGCCACTTGAAATGTGATCTCAAAAACCAGGAAGACGTATCGGCTGAGGTGAGACTGGTTTTCTCTTAAACATTCTGTACTGGCCAGCAAGTTTCCTGTGATTCCTTAGTCACAAGTCTCCTGCCTGTTACAAAAACCTGTGCCAGACCTAGCAAAATAAAACAAGACACTTTTCCCTTGGAGTCACCAAGGTAGTGTGTTTCATCTGCAAGAACTATGGCTTCTCACAAAGCGATCTCCTTTCATCTTTTTAACATAGTTGAACATTCACTGTATTAGTGGATAGGGAACATACACGAATAAGAGAGAACTAGCTCAACCTAATATATCTGCTGTTCTGAACTGAGATGTTAGACCCTTACCATCATACTATGGCCTCACATTTATCCCTTCACAGTCTTGTTAACCCTAAGCATTCAAAAATCATTACTCATGCTTCTGAGAGAGATGAGACTGACTTACAAATCACGAGATTGTAAAATAAATCTGGAGTGCTTTGTGTATGCCTGCTGGTTTCTGAACCTTTCCAGTTCTCTTGGGTTACATTTTCCAATTCTTTTTCCAGTCTGGAGGGCTAGAAACTAGAGCTGCTCTTAAAATAGAATTTCCATTCCCCAAGAAAGTCTGACAATTGTTGTGGTCACAAATTGGGATGAAAAGTGGAAAAAAAAATGTTTAGCAGAAGGAAATCCTGCAAAATATTTTTATTCTGAAACATTATAATGGCCTTATTGACAAAACATTTCAACATTTTCTAAAGGAAATGCTCTAACCTGACAGGAAGTTCAGAGGAGGCCACTTGGAATAAAATTGTTAATGCGTCAATCAGTGAGGTAAGATGATGGTGGGAGAGAGTGTGTGTGGGGGGGGGACTTTCATTTTATTTGTGAACTACTCTGTAGGATGGCAGGTGAGGAAGTGGGAGGTGAAAGGACTGGATGTACCTTCCTTTGTCTCCTTTACTAGTTCAGAAGGAGGTGCTCCCGTATCTGGAATCATGTCTTAGTGGTGTCTGGAGCTAAATGTGGCTGCCTGGCACCACCACCACCAAGAACCCACATACCTTACCAAAAGTGGGGGTAGTCCAGGACCTGTATCCCATGGTTCCATCTCTGGAGGAGGCAATCAGAGGTCTTGGAGAGGCACCATAGACCTCATCCTATAGTTGTCTTTTTTGCCATCCACCCCAATGTCAGGCTGGCTCCTCAGCCCCCACTCCTCCCTACTACACCCCAAGTGCAGCTCTAATGCTTCACCCAAGTCCTGTCCTTACAGAGTGGGCCAGGAATGGCTGCATCTGGCAGTTGTGAGGGAGTGGACTATAGACCTGCTCTCCTCTCTGAGGCAAAAGAGGAAGGAGCCGCAGTCACGGGCCCATGTTCTGCAGGAGTAGGCTGTTGCTGCCTGCAAAAAGGTGGGGGACACCTAAGAGTGCCTTCATGCCCACTACCTAGAGGAAGGGAAAAATTTCCTGGAATAGAGGGTGGAGTCTACATGCAGGCTGCTCCAGGAGTCTGTAGCTTCTGGATGGTGCCTGCCCCAGAGATGGAAACAGAGGGAAATGGTTTATCTTCTTTTGTAGCAAGAGGAAGCAGCCTTAGTAGAAGATAGGTACAAAAATTAACTCTCGTTTGTTAATTTACAAAAAAACTCAAGTTGTTAAATGTTAACATGAATATTCAGCATGGTATTTGATGTGTGTTATTTGGGGCTGCCCTCTTACAGTGCATGATGCTGGTTTCTTTATACACGTGTGTCTGTTGTATTCCGAGCACCACAACACAACAACTGTGGTTTGCTCCTCAGCTCCTTCTGCTGCTTCAGGGCTATGAAGAATCCTTGATTAGCACTCCTTTACATTCCTAGAGCTGATGCAGAGAAACTGTGCTGCAATCAATTTCTCATTTTAAACAGACTTGTTTTACTGAGAAAGCTAGTTTTAAAACAGCAACTGGGAAATGTTATCCATGCCAAAACCATCCCAGTATGCCTTCCTTGGAGTCACCGAAGCACTTCAGGCCTACATATCATCCACCAGTACTGTAGCTTCTATACTGAAATCAGAGCCAGGCCAGATGTGAGAGAAATTGTGTGTGAAGCATGCACAACGCTATTTGGATAAGTTTTTAAAAGGTCATTGGAGCAGAGGGACTGGTGCATAGTCCTGCCACTTCCCAGGACATGTGTGTCAATCTCTCTGACCCAATTATTCTTTCATTATTTACTCCAGAGTGTAACAGCTTCCACAGAAGAGACTGAGAGAGCCCCATATAAAAATACCTCTCACCTGAGAGGTAGCAAATCTCTTCCCCCTCAGGAGGAGGGTCTTGAGCCAGAAGTTTTCCTATAGCTGAGCTCTCTAACCTATGGTTGGGCCAAATCTGGCCCACCTAACACTTTGATCCTGCCCACAGACTGCATCTGGCTGCTTTCTAGTTATATACTGCTACCTATGCCACCGAATTTCAAGGCAGAGGCTCAGGCAGCAGGAGCCTAGTTAAATGGCTCATAGTCGCAGCTCTCCTTTGGGTGGGGATGGAATAGTGAGCCCTTTAAATAGCTGCAGCTGCCAGGCCATGTGGTAGTAATGGGGCTGAGAGCTGTGAGCCCTATGCTGTGTTTTTAATTCAAAGCCTCTGGCCCCAGACAACTCTGGGGGGGAGGCTAGTCACTAGCTCTGCCCCAGGCCCTACCCCTTCCAGGGGTGGAGCTGGCCCATGACCACGTACCAAAATTAATTAAGTGCTCCCCCCCCCCAACCACTAGGAGAACACACACACCACCCTTTTCTTGCTGGAACAGTGTAGGTGCTTAACACCAAGAGAAGGGATGCAGCTGAGAATCTAAAACAGGGAGGCACCTCACTCCAGCCTGGATTAAGGTGCACCTGTCAGAGAGAAGGGTGGGTCTGAACACAAAACTCTCACCTTGGCTGGTTATTTAGGCAAGGAACCACTTAGCATGCTAGCTTCTGTGAATCCCCTTCACAGGTGACTTTCTCTCCCCATTCATGATATAAGGGGCCTAGGCACTACACTCAGGCTCTGTGAACTGCAATGATTTCCTAGATGCCTACCAGGTGTGGCAATCCTGAGGCCTGTCATGCCTATATGCCGTGTAAATCTAGCACCAGGTGTTCAAACTATTTATTTTTAAAAAAAAAATTAAAGATGTGATTTGATCACAGTCTGTGAGTAATTACTCAGGGAACAGATATTTGATCAAAGAAGGCTTTTTAGTGCAGTAGACAAACTGTTTGGCAAGATCCAAAGACTGGCAGTTGAAGCTAGACAAATTCAAGCTAGAAATAAGGTGTAATTTTTTTAATGCTGAGGAAAATATTGGAACAAGTGATCAAGTAGCAAAGAAAGTAACCCAACAAGTAACCAACAGTTGTGGTGGAGTCTCCATCACTAGCTATTTTAAAATATTTACAAAATATATGAAAAACTAGATATTTTTCTAAGATACATGCTTCTTGTTCCATCACAGCAATTGGAGTTGAAGGAGGAATTAGTATGAGGAATGCCCATGGCTTGTATTATACAGGAGATCAGATTAGGAAATAACCATTACGTGCCTTAATCCACAATTAATCCCACTGAAGTGATAGAACAAGGACCAGGTTCATACCATGGGTAAAGGGCATCAGAATCTGGCCCTGACTGAGCACTAGCAGAAGGCTATTGCAATGAGGTGAACCCACAAAAAAATGGACAGTACCTTCCCCAGCTTCTAGCTAAAACCATGTAGGTATTTAACAGCAAAAACTGTGTGAGGAGCTTCTGGAGACCAACTGCTTTTATAGGTATTATGGATCAGGGAGGAGGGGCCAATGTGAGAGAAACATGAGGTTTTCCAGCAGTAAGGCGGGAGGATGGGAGGGTGTAAGACACTTTTGCCCAGAGCAAATCCTGATCCACTAAAAACCCTGACATCCTAAGACTGTGGACTCCCTCCATCAGATTCAGAAGTTAATTACATGTACATTTTGTAAATTACCTATTAACACTTCTCTAGTTTTAATCATTCAAGAAAACCCTTTCCCAACAAATAAAGCTATTACAGTAACAATAATTGAAATAAGTATTTAATACAAGAACAGTTAGCAATCCCACCTCCAATATTTATATTGAGAGCTGGCTGCATGTAGTCATTATTGACAGAAGGAGGAGTGGTTTTAGAGAGAGGCAGGTGTTAATATTTCACAGAAACAGAAGAGTGGTATTTTCGGTGTATTTGAGAACATCATGGTCCACAAGACCCTCTAGACTAGAGAGCAGGGTGAGAAAGAACAACTTCCTTTCATGCAACAGTGCCTCCTTCTGGCAATGTACACAATGGTTTTTAGCAGAATCCAGAGGGGACATCTTAAACAGCCATTCTTATTTAGATGGATGGTGAAATGAGTTGGAGGTGACCAGGATAATGTCAGAGACTGGTAAAAGTGGACATGGGGAAAGAATGGAGGGGATGATCAGTGAGAATACAAGGAGGTGGTGGAGGAAATTAGTTAGGAATGTTTTCTCGTGTACTGAAAGGATTAAGGATCCTCTGAAAATCCCATTCTAAGAGTTTGGTATCCAACTCCCATTGGTACCAAATTCCCATTCTAATTCAATGGAAGTTGGATGCCTAATTCCCTGAGGCATCTTTGAAAAACCTAGATTACACGTATTTGCAGACAGCACTCTGTATGCCCAGGAACTTTTTGAAAATTCCTATACAAGGAGTGTAGGTCAAAGGAATGTGAAGGCCTAAAACGAGCCCTTTCACACTCTCATGGGAGAAGTCCTCGTGCGGGGATGATTCAGAGGGAGCAGAAAAGCCCCTATTCCTTGTGCTATGAGCTGTACAGCACCACGGGGTCAGAGAGGAGTTTGTAATGGATAAGAAAGTAGGGGTAGCACTGGAAGTTATCAAAGACCACATACACCTGGGGCTTGGTCACACTATTGACACATGAATCATAGAGTTGCCCACCAGGCTCTTGTTCTGGAGGCCGGCGGTAATGTGCTCTCCCAGCCACAGTCTTGCCCACCAAAACCTTGGCCAGGAACATACAACGCATCCCACCTTTCTCTGGATGGGAGTATCTATGAGAATAATCTGCTCTCAATGAGAAATAAATGCCCTGGCCGAAGATGTGGCTGTGCTGTTTTGGGAGGAGCTGGCTGAAGTTTGTCTTGCAGATGGACTCCACATTTCTGGCTGAGGTGCCAAAGAAAAGGTGCTTCTCCAGATGTTGTTTCTCAAGTTTTGTTCTTCCCCAAGACATGAATTTCTTCCGGCTGAATTGGGATCAAAGAAGAAAGAGAAGAAAGTTAGAGTCTCTGCCCTGAGGGGATGATGCTGAAGAGCCATCGGAAGACCCGGAAGACTAATCCCTCCCATCCATCCCTCAAATCTTAAGTAAAAGATAAGTAGCACAATCTTAAATTCCATGGAGGTAGGCTCAGTCTCTTGCTCTCCAACTGAGAGTTCAGAAACACTCAAACATCTGCTCACAAAATCCAGGCCTTCCCACACTAAGCCATCATGGTTGGTTACATGCAACCATACACGCTCACAGATGAGTGTACCACCCAGTAATGCACAACCGTTCACCCACCAGATCAACATGTACAACTAATACCTACACCAAGGCACTAGGATTCACCCAATAAGCACACTCTGGTGTAGATGTAGCAAACAACTAATGTACAAAGAAATACCTAACAAGCAATTATGTCTGCTTTAGTGCAGTGGTGTCCACAGTTCAGAGCAATATCAGTAAGATTTTTGCTGTCAGTCTCTGAGCATAGAGCAACCAAAGGAAAGAAAGATGATTCAAAGCTTAGGGTGCTAGTCTTAGACTGTGGACTTGCTCATCACTAATGTGATGTTGGAGAAATCATTTAGGCCAACATCCAGAAAGTTATGTAGATCTCTACCTTCCACTGAAATCAGTGGAAGCTAAGAGCCTAAATATCTTGTGGAGCAGGGCCTCAGTTTCCCAGCTATAAAATGTGAATAATATCACTTGGCTGCCTCACAGGGGTGTTGCAAAGATAAATACATTAAAAATAGTGTGGTGATGAGGACCACCTAAGTATCTAGGAGGCTGGGATTCTGTCATGCTAGCACTGAAATCACATTCCTGTCCTTTGATAGCACCAGCATTCACAGTCTCTGCCTCTGTATGTAGAAGCCACCCTGATAGCTCCACATTCATATTCCTCGCCTCTGAGGATGGTAAGATGCTTAACCCTGGGTACTAGCACTGCAATTCACACAAGACTGATCTCAGGTCCCTCTCTAGCAATATCCACTGGTTTTTTTTACTTAGCATATCTTTGCCAGAGATCGTCATTCCGGATCCTGTAAATTGTCAGCACCAGGATCTCATCTTCTGGAAGAGACTGGTGGAAGAGAACACAAATTGAGCGGTATGCAGCTTCTGATGGTACCACTTCCATTTGCAGGAAAGCTTGATCAATTGTTGGCTTTGGAATCCAGGCAGCAGGGTATGGACCATGATAACCATCCATGGGATCTTCCCCAAGGATGTCATCAGTAGGATAGGAGGCTGTCATGCCTTTACTTGAGATTGTCCTAAAAAAGTAACAAGAAGGGAAAATTTATTTTTCCACAGGTTGTTGAAATGCCCGTAAGAGCACTACTGCCAGTGGAGTCACATACTGCAGGTATGGCACCATAGTGAGGAATGATCGGCAGGAAGGTCGGCGCTGGATGTGGCGAATGTATCCCTGTTCCACGTTACATTGCACAAACTTCTTCAAATCCACACCGTAGTGCTTGCCCCGGAACTCAAAGTTGTAGAATTCCTTGTCCTCCTCAAAGGCAGAGAGTAGATCACTGAAGATGGGCTGAACATACGAAAATAAGAAGTGAGGACATAATGTTAGGATAAAGAGAAAAATCAGGTATTCCCCCACTGTGTCCCCTCAATAGCACTCTGGCCTTTCATTGACGAAGTATCACCCCACAGTCTGGATGTCAGAGGGCAATCTGCATTTGGATGCTCAGTCTTTCTTCACCCACTTGTTTCTCCTTTAGTCCTGGCTCTCTCCAATTATGACCAGTAATTTGCTTTTGTTCTCTTCCCCAACACTTTCGATTCTGTCTTTACCCATCCCCTTCTTAGGGTATGGCTACACCACAAGTGTTACAGTGGCACAACTGTGGTGCTACAACTACCCCATGTGATGGAGACGAGTGTTTCTCAACCTTTTTTTGCTCATGGCCCCCTTCTGAGCCTCATTCATCATACGCCTGGCAGTTAAATTTGAGTGGTCCCCTCAGAAATTTACTGTGGTCCCCTAATGTTCCGTTTTTTTCCATGTGACCCCCTAGAAGTAAGGCATGGCCCCCTGGGGAGCCATATGGCCCATGTTGAGAACCACTGGTGTAGACACATATTACAGAAATGAAAGGGATTTCCCACCACTGCAGTAAATCCATCCCCTCTCCATCGATTCTCTCAACCTACTGGTGTCTACACCAAGCTTAGGCTGGCTTCACTAATGCTCTTGGAGGATAGGGTGAGGGGGATTTTTCATACCCAGGGGTGATTATCTAGGTTGACCTAACTTTTAGGCACAAATCAAGACTTTCACAAGACTTTCTTGACCCTCCCATTCCAACCTCTGCCCTGTCTCTAATGTTCCTTTTCTCAACAAACTGCAAAAGAAATCGGCACTTCTCTGTCCAACCGGCTCTCAGGCCATGTCTACACTACCACTAATGTCAGCAAAACATACGTTGTTTGGGGTGTGAAAAAACCATGCCCCCAAAGCAACACAATTTTTGCTGGTATAACTCGGAGTTTGCATAGCACTATCTTGGCCTCAGAGTTTCTCCCACTGACACAGCTACCACCTCTCTTTGGCTGTGTCTAAACTACATCTCTTTTCTCGAAAAAGGGATGTAAATTAGACACTTCAAAATTGCAAATGAAGCCAGGATTTAAATTTCCCGTGCTTCATTTGCATAATGGTGGCTGCTATTTTTGAAACGGAGCTTTTTGAAAGAAAAACGGCCATTTAGACAGGGATTGATTGAAAATAAAACTCTTTTTTGAAAGATCTTGTACTCCTCAAAAAATGACTTAGTTCTTAATCCATTGTTCTCTTTGGTCTGCTGTTGACCCTTCCAGTCACCCTTTCTATAGTGAGAGCATGGTTGTATATCTGACCCGTGCTTTGAAAGGAGGCCATGGTTATAAATACACAATATAAATATGATTAAAAATAATTTGGGTGAGGGAAGATCTGGGGGCTTCTGGAAGCTCCCCTCCACTAGCTAACATAATCCCAATCTCTGGGCTCTGGGAAGGAGCTCCCAGCACTTAGGAATCTCTTGGGAAAAGGCCACAATGAGAAACCTCTCACCAGCCCCTAATTCCTTCCCCTGAAACAACAGCAAGACCTAGGATAAGATAGCATCAAGTGCTCCTCTCCCTGAATCTCCTGCATAAATGAGGTCAGAATCAGCACTAATGTCCCCTCCCCCTAATAGTGAGAGAGGGAGCAGGCAAGAGGCATTCCCAGAGACTGCTGAGCAGGAAGTGTGGAGATAGCAGGGGCTAGGGGCTTCACACTGTTTATGTGCTAGGTGTGTGGAGAACTTGCACTCTACAGTTGTTACAGCTGCTGAAGAGTAAAGGGAAGGAGAAGAAAGTGCAGCAGCTCAACTGGCTACCTGGGTCTTGACTTTTCTGCCCACCATCCCACCCACCCCTGAAGAGGCAGAGTCATCCTAGTGGTCTGCTCAGGCAGCCCTTTGATCTACCAAAGTGGAGGGGAGGAACTGAAGGTATTATTTGCCTAGCTCTTGGCTATTGGGCTTTATAGGGAATGCATGCAATCTGGGGCTAGCAGTAGCCAGTCTGTAGGGCAGCTTTGTGTCTCTGGCTGAGTCTAGACTGGCCAGTTTTTCTGGAAAATCAGCCGCTTTTCCAGAAAAACTTGCCAGCTTTCTACACTGGCCGCTTGAATTTCCGCAAAAGCACTGACGTCCTACTGTCTGAAATCAGTGCTTCTTGCGGAAATACTATGCTGCTCCTGTTCAGGCAAAAGTCCTTTTGCGCAAAACTTTTGCGCAAAAGGGCCAATGTAGACAGCTGAGATTTATTTTCCGCAAAAAAACCCTGATCGCAAAAATAGCGATCGGGGCTTTTTTGTGTAAAAGCGCGTCTAGATTGGCACGGACGCTTTTCCGCAAAAGCGCTTTTTGCGGAAAAGCGTCCGTGCCAATCTAGACTCTCTTATCCGAAAAAGCTTTTAATGGAAAACTTTTCCGTTAAAAGCATTTCCGGAAAATCATACCAGTCTAGACGTAGCCTCTGTGTTTTAGGTTCTGTTTTGTTATCATTCTGAATTCTAAGAAATAAAGTAGTGTTTGCTTGCAGCCCTCCAGCAAGACTATGTGGCTGTGTCTAGACTGGCAAGTTTTTCCACAAAATCATCTGCTTTTGCGGAAAAACTTGCCAGCTGTCTACACTGGCTGCTTGAATTTCCGCAAAAGCACTGACGATCTCATGTAAGATTGTCAGTGCTTTTGCAGAAATACTATGCTGCTCCCGTTCGGGCAAAAGTCTTTTTCCGAAAGACTTTTGCACAAAAGGGCCAGT